ATATATATATATATATATATATATATTTTTTTTTTTTTTTTTTTTAGACAGAGTCTCGCTCTGTTGCCTGAACTGACGTGCAGCGGTGTGATCTCAGCTCACTGCAACCTCTACCTTCTGGGTTTAAGTGATTCTCATGTCTCAGCCTCCCAAGTAGCTGGGACTATATGTGTGTGCAACCACACCTGGCTAATTTTTGTATTTTTAGTAGAGATGGAGTTTCACCATGTCGGCCAGGCTGGTCTCAAACTCCTGACCTCAGGTGATCCGCCTGCCTTGGCCTCCCAAAGTGTTGGGATTACAGCCATGAGCCACTGCACCTGGCCTGCATTTGTTTTTCTGTCTGCCTAAATAACTTTTCCTCTACATATCCCTGTGGCTACTTCTTTTCATTATTTAGATGTCTGCTGTAGCGTCCTCTCCTCCCCAGTGAGAATGGCATTTCTCCTTTGACAGGAATTTTGTCTCTCTCGTTGGCTGCCATGTCTATAGTACCCAGAACATCGTAGACTCTCAATATATCATTGTGGAGTATAAGAACAAACGAATGAGCCCTAACATAGAGATAAACGTAAAGAACTGTGAATACACGAAGCAAGGACACCCAGCACATCTCGGCATTGCGGAAAATGGTTAAAAAGACTAACAAAGAAGAAGACACTGGAAGGGAAAGAAGGTGTTTCAGAAAGAAGAACAAAAATGTACAAAGACAGGAACCATGAAAGAAGCTTGCACCATGTGCAAGTACAAGGCACATAGAATATACCATAGATATAGCTACAGCTATAGATCGGGGGTGGAAATAGGCATAGTCAGATAATAAAAGCCTTTTTTTTTTTTTTTTTTTTTTTGAGACGGAGTCTCACTCTGTTGCCCAGGCTGGAGTGCAGTGGCGCGATCTTGGCTCACTGTGAGCTCTGCCTCCCAGGTTCACGCCATTCTCTTGCCTCAGCCTCCCGAATAGCTGGGATTACAGGCGCCCACCACCGCACCCAGCTAATTTTTTGTATTTTTAGTAGAGACAGGGTTTCACCATGTTGGCCAGGATGGTCTCGATCTCCTGACCTCGTCATCCGCCCGCCTTGGCCTCCCAAAGTGCAGGGATTACAGGCATGAGCCAACGTGCCCGGCCAATAAAAGATTTTAACTGTCAAACAGTTACATCTTTTCTGGGGTCATTTAGAAGGTATTAACGGCTAAACAGAATAGCGGCATGATCAGAAATGCTGGGATCCAACACTAATGTTGTCCTATAACTCCAAATTCCAGTCTTTCTCCTGTACTGGTTTCTCTGGACTTTCAGCATCAAGGATCTTAATTTGGTGTCTGGTTCTTGAGTCAAGCTTAATATGTTTCATAACTCTGCCATACCATCTCCACTTCTGGAATCCCATAATAAGGTAATGACCTAAAATCCTGGAAAACATATATGCACAAAAATGTTTAATGCAGTATAATTTATACCAGAAAACAAAATTTAAGGGCCAGGTGCAGTGGCTCACGCCTGTAATCCCAGCACTTTGGGAGGCCTAGGGGGGGCAAATCACTTGAGGTCAGGAATTGAAGACCAGCCTGGCCAATATGGTGAAACTCCATCTCTACTAAAAACACAAAAATTAGCCGGGCATGGTGGTGGGTGCCTGTAATCCCAGCTACTCAGAAGGCTGAGGCAGAAGAATCGCTTAAATTTGGGAGGTGGAGGTTGCAGTGAGCCAAGATCACACCATTGCACTCCAGCCTAGGTGACAAGAATGAAACTTCACCTCAAAAAACAAAAAAGAAAAAGGAAAAGAAAAAGAAAAACATATTTTTAAAAAATTAGAATAAATGAAATATTTTATAGGGGTGTAATGATTTGGAAAATTACGGTATAACTACTTATTGTTGCACTATGCAGTCATTAACTGATGTATTCCTAGAGGAACAGAAGAAAGATTTGTGGTTACCATGCACTGAGGATGAAGATGAGAGTTAATCACAAAGGTTTACGTGGGAATTTTTGGTGGCAGTGGAACTATTCTGTATCTTAATTATGGTCCACATTTGTCAAAATTCATAAAACTATGCACCATAAAGGATGAATTTTACCATATGTAAATTATATCTCAGAAACCTCAAGAAAACTTTAAACCTATGTTTCTGATTATTTTGAATGCCATGGGGAAATTATAAAATTATGCAATATGAAACAATATTAAGTAACGTAAAAATTATGCAGAGAAAAAATACTAGAAAAAACTATGTCAAATATTGTACTAATAGTAAATTATCTTTTGGACAGAGGAGAAAAATGGTGTTTTCTACTTTTTTCATCTTTTCTGTGTTTAATTTTGATGATGATAAAATAAGTAAATTTTGTTTTAAAAATATATTAGACTGTTGAAGTCTCTCTAAACTTTCTTTCCATTGTTTTTGAGTTTAGGGATCCTCAAACACCACAAACTCCTTTGCTTGTTATCTGTGATCTACTAGAAACAGTCGTGAAAACCAAGGATAGCTCCTCAGTTTACTGGGGTAGCTTTAGCATGGGCTTGGAATGGGACTAAAAAGCTATCCCCTGTCGTGATCCCATGGCCTCAAAGCAGTAGCTCAGGTCAGGAGACAGCTTTTCTCTCAAATTGCTCTGTAATTGCATGTCCTCTGCTGGCAAAATACACATTCTAGTCCCTGCCTCCTTTCTCAGGCTTTTATAAATATGAGACACACAGAATACTTGGTAACAGTAAAAGAAAAATGGCATTATTATCCAAACACTTGAGGTAGACAATCTCTTCAAAGCCATTTCATAAATCACATCTTAGAGCTTGTCATAAAATACATACAGCAAAGAAAAATAACAATTGTGTCCTTTGGAAAATGGATTTTAAACTTTCAACTAAGTTCATCAGAACCTTTTTTTCCAAAGGCAATGTATGTTTTTGCTTCCTAGTCTAAATGGTTATGATGGACGGAAGTGGTGGTGAGGAGACAACATTCTAATGAGGACAAGCAGAGAAACCAAGAAACAAGATGAAAAGCTATAATAAATTATGGATTTTGATAAATTGCCCCACACTGTAGCATTTCAATTACAGAAACACATAGTTTACACAAGTAATTACTGAAGAAATTACCACAGAAGCACATCTATTCATTGAATTATGAGGCATCAATTCTCTCCCCTGATTGCATCTTCAGTTCCAAGAATGGCAATCACAGCACCACACAAAACTTTAATAACACAATCTTTTTTGGATTAAAAAGATACACTATTGGATGAGAAATATGTAAAGAGATGATAAGAAAAGGATGTAGATTCACATTGAGAAACAGAATGCCTTCAATGCGTTCATTGCAAAGCCAGAACTTTGACGATTAGAAGGTGATCACTTGAGGAGCCTGTTCTGAACATGAGTCCCAATGTTCTGTGAGGGTCTTCGGCATCATGGTGAGGGTCAGAAGAGATTATCTAGTGAGGATAAGGTCCATCAACAAATGCATTATTTTTCTATTTTTTTGAAATAAGAGTCTCACTCTGGCACCCAGGCTGGAGTGCAGTGGCATGATCACAGCTCACTGTAGCCTTGACTTCCCAAGCTCAAGAGATCCTCTTACCTCAGCCTCCCGAGTAGCGGGGACCACAGGCATGTACCACAACGCCTGGCTAAATTTTTTATATATATATATATAAACACAGGATCTCACTGTGTTGTCCAAGCTGGTCTTGAACTCCTGGCCTCAAGCAAGCCTCCTGCTTTGGCCCTCCCAAAGTTCTGGGATTACAGGTGTGAACCACCATGCTTGGCCCTAACCAATGCATTCTATTCACGTTAGCATGTCATGTGATAAGTCTCACTGGAAATTTAAGGGCTTTTAATCTAATATTTTTTGCCGTTATTTTGAATAAAATCATGATTTGGTTTGATTTGACTTTCTGACTTTCATTTTAGGTTCAAGGAGTACACGTGCAATCTACATGGGTAAATCACATATCACAGGGGCTTGATGTACAGATAATTTTGTCACCCAGGTAATAAGCATAGAACCCAATAGATGGTTTTTGAATCCTCATGCTCCGCCGACCTTCCACCCTCAGGATGGCCCTGGTGTCTATCATTCCCTTCTTTGTGTCCATGTGTGTACTCAGTGTTTAGGCACTTATAAATGAGAACACGCCATGTTTGGTTTTCTGTTCTTTTGTTAATTCGCTCAGGATAATGGCCACCAGCTTCATCCATGTTGCTGCAAAGAACATGATCCTACTCTTTTTTATGGCTGCATAGTATTCCATGGTGTATATGTACCATATTTTCTTTATCCAGTCCACTATTCATAGATGTTTTAGGTGTATTCTATGTCTTTGTTATTATGAATAGAATACTGTGATGAACATACACTTGCATATGTCTGCCTTCATGACAAAGACTCCAAAAGCAACAGTCTTACTTTCAATCCAGTGCTTAAATCCTTTCAACTCAGTGTCCAGTGTATATGTATACACACTATGTATATGTATACACAGATATATGCATGGGCATACGTGCGTACACACACTCACACACATGAACCTCCTATAGCAGACCATTCTTGGTGCTCCCTCATGCTCCCTCACTCTTATAACTTCAATGCAGACCAACCTAACTTGCAACTCCAAATTCAATGCCTGAGGACTTTCTTTGGCACCAAAGCAGTTTGTCCACCCATTTGGCAGGCTAGAAGTGCAGCCCTCAGCCAAGGACTATCGGGAGTTGGTATATAAATACCCCAACTCCCTTTCCCATCACAGGGATAGCTCCAAGGTTTAGGGCCTACACTGTTTCTCAGAAATTTTCCCAGTGGGCTTAAGCTTCAGGTGCCCTCAACTGCAATGAGTTTCAAAATATACGCTTTATTTCTGCCTCCTCTTTACTGTCTCATTCTCCACTCCCCTACTGATTTTTCCTGGGATCGTCTCTAAAATACCTGACTTGAATCCTTATCTTAGGATTTTCTTCAGAACCTAAGTTTGGGGAATCCAAAGTAAGACATTCCTCATCCCTAAATTTAGGGTAATGATGCTCCCATAGTGAGCATTAAATGAGCAAATTGCATGTAAAGTGTAAATCACAGTGCCTGGTTCAAGTAGGTGATTATTAATATTTATTATTATTACTGCTATCCCCTTTTTTGTTAAAGTATATTTCCTCGGTATCTTCTGCTCTTTCCAGGTTCTCGCCATTTCATTTGCTGTCTCTTTCCAACACTGTGGCTTTCATCCCCAACCACGAAAATGCAGGCTGACCAAAGGAGGACAGTAGCCCTGTATTCATTGGCATCAGTCACTTGTGGCTTCTCAACAGACCTTCTACCCAGGTGTCCAGATTCCTCAGGAATCTTTGGGAAGCAAAATCAATGGGGAACTCAGTGGCAACAAGCTGTGTGTTATTTTTCTGTATTGTAACTTTGCATCTGTGTTCCCCTCCTGGCTAGAGCGGAAGCAGGAGCCGCTTCATGCTGTTGGGTGCAGGCTCTGGTGATGACGATCAAAGAGTAAAGGTTATTGGTCCCAGACATGACAGTTTCATCTCCAGGGGCCATAAACAGTAGTGGCTCCGGAATCCAAGCAAAAAGGTGAATGAGAAAAACAGAGTAATGTAGTACATGATGAGTTGGAGAATGGGAACCCAGCCTAAAGAATTTTAAATTAAGATATTTAAAAACTGTGTGAGAGCCAAGAAATCCATATATAGCCCCACAAAATGTGCACCCCCGCCTTTGCCTGAACCCAGCCTTAACAGTTTACAAAGTTTTGTTGCAGTCTACAAACCATTTACAAAGCATTTGGTCCTCTTTACAGTCTTGTGTGGTCAGCCGGAATTTATTATCAGAATCTCCATTTTAGAGTGCAAGGAATTGAAGACCTCAACATTTAAATGCCTCTTCTAAGAAAAGAACACACAGTTAAAACGCATGAAATATCTGATTCCAAACACTGTGTTGTTTCTATGAACACACTCAGAGGTGGGGTTTTGGGGACAGAATCTCCTTCACAAGGTTGTGGAGGGTTGAATCACCGATCAACTAAACTCTCGTTGAAAAGGGAGAGTCCTCAAAAGAGTGAGTATGATTCATGGCAACTCATCCACGTCAGCAGATCAGTCACTCAGAGAGGATAATAAACTCACAGAATAAAGGACAAAAGGATATTCGACATGACGGCAGGACTTTTCATTCATGGGGTATAGTGGATCTAATGTTGCCCCTCAAATTCATGTCCACCCAGGACCTCAGAAAATGTCCTCATTTGAAAAGAGGGTCTTTGCTAACATGACTAAGGTAAAGAGTGAGGTGAGATCATATTGGAATTTGGACCCTGAACCCATTGAATATCCTTGTAACATGATGTTATCTGTCCTATTAGGAGCTTCCTGATGATTCCATGTCAAGAGGGTTGTGAAAGTTCAGTGCCTGGTGCATGGTGAGTGCTCAACCCCTTGCACCTAGGCAATCATCTCATGGTATAGTTTTCTGGGACTGCTGTGACAAATGACTATAAGCTCAGTGGCTTAGGACAATGAAAATATATTATCTCACGGTTCTGGAGGCCAGAAGTCAGAAACCAAGGCATCAGCAGGGCCACGCTCCCTCTTAAGGCTCAAGGGCAGAATTCTTGCCTCCTCCAGCTTCTGGTGGCTCCAGGTGTCCCTTGGCTTATGGCAGCATCACAGATAAAGACACACATGATGAAATGTGTCATCACAGATAAAGACACACATGACAAAGGGCCATGTGAAGGCAGTGGCAGAGGTTGGAGTGATGGGGAGTATTTCAGATTGTGTATACAAGGAAGTGTTAATATTAGAGCTGAGACTGCCGGGTGCGGTGGCTCACGCCTGTAATCCCGGCTCTTTGGGAGGCCGAGGTGGGTCGATCACTTGAGGTCAGGAGTTCAAGACTAGCCTGGCCAACATGGTGAAACCCTGTGTCTACTAAAAATACAAAAAATTAGCCGGGCGTGGTCGCAGGTGCCTGTAATCCCAGCTACTTGGGAGGCTGAGGCAGGAGAATCACTTGAACCCAGTAGTTGGAGGTTGCAGTGAGCTGAGATCGCGCCACTGCACTCCAGCCTCAGCGACAGAGTGAGACTCCATCTCAAAAAAAAAAAAAATATATATATATATATATATATATGAGCTGAGAACTCAATGATGGAAAGGAGGGACCCCAGGAAGATCTAGAATATTTTAGGAAGAGGGAACAACAGCAAGTGCAAAGCCCCCGAGGCAGGAGAGAGGTTGAACAATGGAAAGAAAGCAGTGTGGCTGGGCCAGATGGGATGAGAGATGAGGCATTCACATCTCCCTCTCTATAGTTTAAGCTCCATGAAGACCTTGTTCATTTTGTTCACGGCCCTATCTCCAGCCCCTAGAAACTCTCCCACTCAGTTTTACTCATCCATGCAGAAAGAAAGTTAAACTAGATGATGCGTAAGTGCTTCGCCAGCTCAAACCTTCTACCATTTGAACTTTCTAAAATAACGGAATTGAGTCCACTGACTTCCCTTTCCGGCACCAGCAAAATGTCCTCATCATCATTTTAAAAACCGTCCAAGTGATAACTCTTAACCATAGGTCAGCAAACACACAGCTAAGCCGGGGATTTCCAGCACGTTCTCTCGGATGTGCAGTTTGTTGAAATGTAAACGAAGCAAGATTCTGTGGGTGAAAGTCTGGACCCTTCAACTCCAGGTCTTCCTGAGAAAGTCAGATACACGAGGAAGCTTTTAAAAATAGCTTCCCCACCACATTTTTAATGCATACTCAGTTTTTAAAATGTTAGTAAGTATTCACTGCGAAGGGAGGAGGAACAAGTGACTAATACAATTTTTCCCTCTCCGTGGACATATCTCTGTCCCTGCTTCTTTCCCAAGTTGATTTGTGGGAAGAACACATTCTTCTTCAAGAAGTGATGGGCACAGGCCAGGTGCCATGGCTCACACTTGTAATCCCAGCACTTTGGGAGGCCAAGGTGGGCAGATCACAAGGTCTGGAGTTCGAGACCAGACTGGCCAACATACCCCATCTCTACTAAAAATACAAAAAATTACCCCGGCATGGTGGTGGGTGCCTGTAATCCCAGCTACTTGGGAGACTGAGTCAAGGAGAATCGCTTTAACCTGGGAGGCAGAGGTTGCAGTGAGCCAAGATTGCGCCGCTGCACTCCAGTCTGGGTGACAGTGCGAGACTCCGTCTCACAAAAAAAAAAAAAAAAAGAAAAAGAAGTGATAGACACAAGGATAAAAATCTACTGAAGATCTTTGCTCTTCTTTCTTACACACAGACATACACATGCACACATACACTCCTACACACACAAATGTCCCAGATGCACAGCCATTTATGCTATTCACTAAAATACACATAAGCACCAACACAAACTTATATTCACAACCTTCAGCACATGCACAAATATTCACATGCACACCTGCCTATAAGCACATGTATGAGTATTCATATGCATCCCAACACACGTTATATTTATGATTATAAGTATATGAGTACATGAATGGTTATAAGTACATGAGTACATGAATGAGTACATGAATGATATATTCACATGCATATATCTTACATGTAAGTTACAAAGCACACAAATATGGGCTTGCATATAAATCCTGAGATACACATACATATAAAGACATAGGACACAAGCCCTTACAAACAGATGCATATGTAACTGGCACATGTACTGATATATATTCATGTACATAAGTACTTAGAAACATACCACAGGCATACAATCATTACTCCCCACACAGAGCATGCAGACACAATTGTTGTGCACAGACATAGACACCAAGGGGCTCCATTCTGTTTTCCTAAACGACCAGGTGAAAAAGAAATACAATTGGTGGAGTTGGGGATGCATTTTGTTTCTGCTTTGTATTTTCTCTGCTAGAAAATAGAAAATCGGTTGTGGTGGAATAAGTGAAGTAGTCAGAAAATAAGCTGCAGGGTTCTCCAGAATGAGAGGTCTGGTGTTCCTCTCTGCAGAGAAACCAAGAGCGAGGAGCTTAGGCTCTGCAGGGAGCTGGAGCTGCACTCCTGAAATTCATGAAATCCTCACCAGAGGGAGTCTCCCCGGTGGTTCCTCATTATCCCACAAATTAATATTAACAACATCCTTCCATGTATGATTTACTTTGACTTTGAGGGAAATGCCTTCCTGCCTATGTTCTGTTTGTATTTTTAAGCTTCCACCCAGGTGGGAAGGACAGGTGTCACAATGCCATTTCAGGGGCAGCAACCACCAAGACATGGCAGTGGTCATCGTGCACCTTCTATGGCGTCGGGCTTTGTGGCAAGTGCTTTTGTTACCTTAACTCATTTCATCCCTGCAACAACCCTGGGGGTAAATGTATTAATATCACCATTTCACAGTTGAGTAAAGTGAGGATAAAAACAGTAAAAACAGTAACAACTTGCTCAAGGTCACAACAGATGAAGCTGCTATTTAAACCCAGGTTGGCTTTGAAAAGACCGGCTCAGGGGGTGGTGGAACCTGGGGTGCTTTAGAATAATGAGATTATTTTAAGCCTTATTTTTAAACTTTTTTTTTTTTTTTTTTTTTAAGTGAGAACAGCCAGAACCACTTCACAAGGCCAGGCTAGCTCTCTTCACTTCTAATAATTGGCCTCTGTCCCAAGGGAGCAATTCTCTGTGGGAAGCAGAAGTTACAAAAGCCACAAAAGGAGAAAAGATGACCATGTTCAGGCTGTTGACTATAGCAGAGCTTCTCAACCTCAGGCGCTATTGATCTATTGGACCAGATAATCCTTTGTTGTGGGGATCCGTTCTGTGCACTGTGGGATATTGAGCCACATTGCTGGCTTCTACAATCTAGATGCCAGTAGCACCCTCCATCCTTTGTGACAACAAAAAATGTCTCCAGACATTGCCAAATGACCCCTAGGGGACAAAATCACCCCTGATTGAGAACCACTGGGCCACAACCTGCTTTCTGAACACCTGCTATGTGCCAAGCATTGAATGATGTGTTTTAATTCACTTGCTCTTCCCAGCAACTCCATAAAGTATGACTATTCATTTCCCCATTCTATAAGTGGAGAAACTGAAGCACCAAGAGGGTAGATTCCTCGACTAAGATGACACATATTTTTCCACCATCTTCTATTACCACTTCCAGTATTAGCAACTACTATTGAACACTCTATCTCACTCTATGCTAGACACTGTGCTTTACATGATCTGTGTTAAGTTTTACCACAATTCTCTGCAGTAGCTACCACTAACCACTTCCATTTTACAGGTGAGAGAACAGAGGCCCACCTACCAAAAAGGTAGAGCAGAGATTTGATCTTGCGTCCATGTGACTTAAAGCCTAAGTGCTCACCAAGTCTAAAATGCCACTACCCTAGCAGAGAGAAAAGATTACATTGGAACTCCAGAACCAAAACACATGCTTTCATTTGAGCATTTCCTGGCTTGTGAGCCAGGCACAATGATTTTGAATAACTGAGCTGCTATTTAAAAAAAAAAAAAAAAAAAAAAAAATCGTGCAACTGAATTCTAAAGAAAATTTCTTGTGGCTTCATTGTTAAGCCTTAACCATCCTTTCCCTGTGAATCACCACCAAATTGTTCACTGTGCTTTAGTTAGCGCCAATTAACTCCTTACAATTGAGCATATTTTCCACTATTACAGGGGCTGCATAAAATCTTCCAACTGGGGAGGCCCAGAAACATCAGAATCCAAACCAGATGATGATCCTCATCTCATTATGACCCAAAATAAACCAGTCATGGCTGTAAAGGATTACAAATAAAATCCTATTAAAATCTAGCATGCACCAGGTCCTCTAAAATAGCAAAAGACCACAACTATGAGTGTTCTGGGAGAATATGCTTACTCTATTTTGGGGGGAAAGTAAAAGCTATAAAAAAAATTAACTAGCATCTATTCCTTTTTCCTCATGGTAATAAAACCACAGGGTTTGGCTGGGCATCTTCTGCCTCTTACACACAGAGTCTCTTCCTCACCTCCAGGGGTGGGCTCTGATTGGCTTAAACCAAGCCACATACTCCAGGAAGCCATTCTGATTGGTTCAAACCTGATACAATGTGAGCCAATGAGATAGGAGATCTATTTGCTAGAGATTTAAAAAATATATATATATATTTCATGCCCACCTGAGATAACTACAGGGAACAGCATGGGAATAAGGAAACAGAGGGCTTATATGCTATGAGTCCGTATTTATTTTTGCTATAAATACTCTATTATAAATTAATGAAAAAAATCACAGTAAAATCTCTGTGACAGAAGAGCTCTCACATTTGTTTTCTTTTTTGTTTCTGTTTCTCTTTTTCTTTTCTTTTCTTTTTTTTTTTTTAAGACAGAGGCTAGAGTGCCGTGGCTCAGTCTTGTCTCACTGCAACCTCTGCTTCCTGGAGGTAAT